CTGAAAATGAAGAATAAACAAAAATGAAAAGGAAAACAGGGTATTGAAACGAGCGACTGCATGAGAAATTTTAGAGAAAACATTCAAGTTATCCATTGTTTGAGTGTTTATCTATTTACCCAATTAAACGATCACCACCATTAACAATGACTGTTTCATGATATTTAATCAACATGCAGTAATACATAAGCATTATGCTTATTTTAGCATGTTTCCGTGGAGTATTGGATCGCTCAAGGGTACGACCCAGCTAACCTCCTCCTGGGAGTGGGTTCATACGGTCGCTCCTTCACCATGCAGGACGCCAACAGACATGACTTGGGGGATCCCGCTTCTAGAGCAGGGAGTCCAGGGCCATTTACCAGAGAAAATGGATTTTTGGGTTATTATGAGGTGAGACTCCTTTACATGATTTTACAGTTCATATCAACTAGTTCTTTTTCAATTTAAAGTTTTAATTTTAAATAAATATAGTCCATAAAAGCCTACAGGTTAATCTAAAACTCAGAACATTAAACAAAAACATAATTTAATTTTTTTCTTAGTCACCCTAGACATAAACAATATAAATTTACATAATAAAACTGAAAAACGTTTTTATTCTTTCAATATCCAGGTATGTCAAAAAGCTTGGCCAAGTGTATTCAACAATGAACACAAAGTACCATATGCCTACGACACAGTCTCTCTTCAGTGGGTGGGGTACGATGACATGACAAGTATGAGAATTAAGGTAAGTATCTATTTTTCAATTTACAAGGCTCATTGTTGATCATCAGTGTGTAAAAAATAAAGGAAAAAGTGCATTTATCAACAAATTTTACTAAAATCAGAGCGAAAAATATTCAGGATTTTTTCAGTAAGGTATACTATTCAATTTTTTATTCTTTAAAGAAAATGAACACCACTTGCCCCCACAGCAACTCTAAACACGAAGTGTATTCTTTTGAATAGGCTGATTATGTATGTTCCAATCAGCTGGGTGGAATCCATATGTGGGCCTTAGACATGGACGACTTCTCTGGCCAATTCTGTAAACACGGGATGAATTATCCTCTCCTTAGAACTATAAACGCTGGTCTTCAAGCATGTAGTCCCCAGCCTGGTACCCCTGCACCCACTGATGCACCCACCCAGGCACCCACTCAGGCACCAACTCAAGCGCCAACCCAGGCACCTACTCAAGCACCTACCGCTGCACCAACCCAGGCACCTACTCAAGCACCCACCGCTGCACCAACTCAAGCACCAACCCAGGCACCAACTCAAGCACCTACCGCTGCACCAACTCAAAAACCCACCCAGGCACCTACCGCTTCACCAACTCAAGCACCTACCAAACCACCTACAGCTGCACCAACCAAAGCGCCAACCCAGGCACCTACCATTGCACCAACTCAAAAACCCACTGAGGCACCTACTGAAGCACCTACCGATGCACCAACTCAAGCGCCAACAAAGGCACCTACTCAGCCCACAACTACAGCAGCAAGTGGAAGTAAGTGTTGTCAAAGCAAGCACGCACACTCTCAGTTGTATACATATAATTCTTACTTTCAGTCATTCAACGAAAATGAGGACTTGTTATGAATATCTGTAAGTTTTGTTCCTTTGCTTGTGACAGATATGGGTTGGTTATAGCTTTATATCTTGATACCCATTTGTTATAATTTTTTTAATAGGCAAGACATTTTACTTACATTAAAACTTTGATTTTTCAGAATTCGTTTGTCCCGAAGAGAGCGGATATTTTCCACATCCAAGAAATTGTAGAAAGTTCTATCACTGCGCCATGAATAAAGCATTCAGCAAAATCTGCCCCAAAGGCATGTTCTACAACCCACAGACTTACCTCTGCGACTACGAAGACAACGTCCCATCTTGTGCCAATGGAAACCCCACAGAAATAGGTAACATTCTTTATCTGGGGATATCTAATTAAAAACTTAGCGAAAAAGCAGTTACGTCTAATGCATGTTGACCGGCACAGTCAGTTAAAACCATTGTGCTCAAACCCTAATATATCATGCTTTTTCCACTTTTAGATCAATTCATATGTCCCAGCGATGGCATCTTCCCCGACCCTGATGACAACGGATGTTACTACAACTGCGCCAATGGTAACCCATTCCGCACATGCTGTATGGACGGCCTGGTCTTTGATACCCAAGACCTCATCTGTAGATTTTCATTGCAAGAAGAAGCCGAAGTCATGCACCCAAAGTTTCCCAAAGTTAAGAAATTGGAGAAGATTTACTAAATGAATATATAGAACACTGCTGCGTGTATATGAAAAAAAGGTTATATGAATAGATGGAATATTGATTGAATATTGGTTATTACGGACAACTACGGATATACGAATGATGGACTCCGCATTATCCTACTCAGGGTCACGCCCAGGCCAACCAAAAAGTAACAGGGTCTGAAAGTGAGATAACCTGTGTTAAATACTTATTGCTAGTGTGATGTCAGTTTAACAGTAAGCATTGTCATAGATGAGCTCAAAGCTTTTCATTTTTTTCCTGTGGACTTTAATATAATTTTTAATGTAAGTTAATTTATTTTTACAATCACCATTTTACTTTCCCATAAATTTTGATATATTTATTTTTGTATTGTAACAATCTTACAAAAAGTTTTTTAATAAAAATAATTTTGAAAACATATATGTGATATCTATAATTGTTTCTTTTCCTTAAATGTGGGATGAAGCACAGTTAACTAGTTTTGATATTTCTACAGTTTATTGACTCGAGGTACATTAACAGCACTTCTGGTGAATGAATATCAATTATAAAACAATACCAAACTCCTACCAGCGGTAATTCTTACAGTACGAACTCAAGAACCCCCCTTCTCCCCAATACGATAACCTAACCCTGCAACGTAAATGACGACGTTATGCTACGTGCATTCAGGTGTTACCTTGCTTTCGTTCTCACTGAAGATATATAGTTTATGGATTACTAAGTTTACTTCCCCCTCACCATAGTTCATAGTGCTTGGGCAATAATCGTGACAGCTAATGGGTTGGAGCAATATATATATAATATCCATGCATAAATCTGTGTACCGCGTGTTATTAAACTCAAGTGTCTTCACCGTAACCAAGACTCCAAGAATTTCTACGCGCCATTTAATCTTCGTGTAGCACTGGCAAGAGCATCACGGTTTACGGTGAAATCAAAGCGTCGCACAGTTGAACAAGCAAAGCGGTTGCAGTATAGCGTGTTACCAACAGAACGTAGGATATAACCATAAACCATTTGCTATTAACTGGTAAGGTACATAACACTATATGTCTGGTAAGATCCTTTTTATAAAACAAAATTTGAAATTTTACACGTATGAAAATCTAATCAAATTCAGGAGACCAGTTTGACTGATTGAGGAAAGGTGCGTGGTGAAGCAACCCGTTCAAAGGTAACCTTATCTTTAGTATTATTGAACAGCACAGCGTTTAATTTGTAGTTTAAACTGGGTGATTCTAGATTACATTGCTAATCTGTACCATTCTCAAGGTATTTTTTCACTTGTTTTTCAACAGAGCATGAGTAAATGGCCACATGAGCAGTGAAGTTAGCCAACTAACTTGAACGCAAACACATACTGACAAAAGGAAGGATGATTTATTTATAATTTACATTAAAAAGTGTTGGTTTTCTAAACGATTAACATCTGATGAAAAGAGCGATTTTCATACGTGCACTATTAAATAGCATTAAATTACTTTATTACGTCTTCCGTCACCTCAAAACGATAGATAAAATGATAAAAAAAAAACTGACATGGAAAAACGTGTTTATGAAGTGTTTGGAAGGAATGGGAGATCTGTGGTTGAGATTAGTCTTTGGTTATGGGAAAAGGGTTGAAATGCGAACATTTTCGTCGACCAACTAGTCTACTTTGTCTCATAAAACCTTTAACAAAACACTGCAGGTAGCCTTGTAATGAATTCAGAAAAGGGTAACTCCGAATCTTTCTTGTCTTTCTTATTTCCTTGTTTTATTATATTATCTCTAGTTTGTCCCACACGACATTTTACGTTTGCTCATTTTTTCGTTCTTCGGCAGCTCTATCATACTCTTGAATCTGCGGATGCTGTTTGACTCGAAGTCAGAAATATTAATCGTAGTCTCATTGATGTCCCAGCCACAGGCCTTTGCGTGCTTGAAATAAAACATAAAATGCGAGTGTTAATCTTGCATGTAATTTCCCCTAATGACAAACTAATACTAGCTAATTGCCACACAACCTATTTCGTCTTTTAAGGGAAACGAATGCTATCACTTAGGTAACCGCAGGACCCCGTTTCAAAAAAGAAAAAGAAATAATGTACTTTTAGGAATGCTGCATCTATCAGGCAATTATGATTGAGATGGGGAAACGAACAGCAGAAGTCTACTAAATTAAAACAAGTCTACATGTGCCTTTTTCAGAAGGATAAAAATAAATAATCTAACTATTTACAGTCTTTAATATCAGTTGAAATATTGCTTCAATAGAGATGCATTCTGCCTTAAAATAGACTAGAATATTGGGAGTTAAAAAAAAACTATCGTAAAATTTTGACGAAGAGAAAATGACGATTCTTCCTGGCACATTCAAGTGCTCACCGACCAACACTATCATTTTAACCTTTAAGCCAAATGAAAAATTACATGCATTTTTAGCATTTTAAAATTAAAAACTTGTATCATGCCTAAATGCCATACGGAAATATTTTACAAACAAAAGGCGTAGATTTATGACAGCGAGAAACCAACACGCAATCATTCTGGGTCTGTTTTTTTTTACAGCGACCCTTACTGTATTAACGATTGTTTAATTCCAGGGAATATGCAAGGTGTATCTTCCAGCTCCAAAAAACTGGTGGTATATTTTACCAACTGGGCTCATTTAAGAAAAGATGAGGCAAGATTTGTCCCCGGCGACATCGACCCTAGTCTGTGCACCCATATCATCTATTCATTTGCCAAGGTCAACAAAAACGAGTCGGGATTTATTCTAGAGGGCACGCAGTGGAATGATATGGGTATCATAAACAAAACTTTTTATAGTTATAATCAATAGTTGTAATAGTACTAGTAGTGTTAGTGTATTAACTTATGTATTAACTTGCTTTCTTGCTAAATTAAATGCACGGCGTATGGGGAGGGGGGTGTTTCGAGTGAAATCACACCACTTAGACAGATGTGCTTGCTTTGTAGAAATGTTCTCAGAATTAGTCTCCATAAAGGACAAATATCCAAACCTGAAACTACTCTTGGCAGTTGGTGGTTGGAATCACGGCACCGCCATGTTTAACGAAATGGCGTCGTCTGCTGCGACGAGAGCTCAATTCATCAAGAGCACTATCAAATATTTGAGAGATATCAAATTTGACGGCTTCGACTATGACTGGGAGTATCCTGGAAATTCTGATCGTGGCTCCCCTCCCGAGACAAAGCGGCATTTCGCTGAACTAATTCAGGTGAGGCGAGCACATTCGGGTACAACAGTAAACGTTATTATATAAACATTACACGTCTCACTTTATGATTAGTATCTATTAATTTTTTTTAATTGAAGAAATAGTATGACAGTTTTCTATCCAATAACAGTTTACATAAAATAAAAAATTTCAAAGTATGGCTTATTCTTTTTGTTAGGATACTCGATCAGCGTTTGAGGAGGAAGCTAATACAAGTGGGAAACCCCGATTGCTGTTGACCGCTGCCGTCGCTGCAGGGGTGTATGCTGTTGACAGTGGCTATGACGTTCCAACAATCGCAAAGTAGAATAACGCTTTAATTAACAAAAAACTTTCATTGAAAGAGGCAAAAACAGCTGTCTTTCATTGAGTATCTCACTGTATAAAAATAATTGATAATTTTGGAATTATTTTTTAGTAAACTTCTTTTGAAATACAATGAAAATACTTTTTAAGTTTCAACCCGATCTTCTGAAATGCTGTTTTTTCTTATCTTGTACCAGGTCGGTGGACTTTATTAATTTAATGGCTTACGACTTCCACGGCAGCTGGGAGGACACCACGGGGCACCACAGCGCCCTCTACCACAGGCAAGATGAACCACCGGCACACAAGTCGGCCAACCAAGTAAGGGGAAAAAGCTTATTTATATACACTTTAGGCATTTAAATTTAATATTGATGAAATACATATACTTTATAAAGCATATAGGCCGATCCAGAAAGGGAGGCGGGGTCCTTAGAAAAAATCGCATATCCAGCCTTCGCCCCTTTTACTCTGGAACCAACAGACCGGCAGGAAAGATGTTTCTTATAGTCACCATCCAATTTGCCCAAAAATGCTCAATATCTTAATAAATCCTGTGCAATAGGGTGATGGAGTTGGGGGGAGGCGGAGAAAACCGAATCCGCCAGCGTTGTTAAAGTGAGTTGTTCGAACAAATTAAAAAAATTGCATTTTGCTTATCTTCTCTGCCGTGACGTCTAGGATGCTGCTGTCAACTACTGGATTCAGCAAGGCATGCCTCCTGACAAGATAGTGCTGGGCGTTGCCTTCTACGGACGCACCTTCACCCTGAGAAACCCTGAAGTCCATGGCTTGGGGGCACCCATTAGAGGTCCTGGGACACCGGGGCCTTACACATTAGAGCCCAGTATGCTGGCTTACTTTGAGGTTCGAGAACTGTTCAAAATATCTTTCTTAATTGTAATTATAATTCTTCAAATATTGTCTAAATGTTTGTTTTCGATAGTTCTCTTATTTTAAATTTCAGTTTGTGAAATGTGCTCGTACTTCAGAGACAAGTATCACGAGGAATACAGTTTAAAAATAGCAGTTAAAATAGTTGCTTTAAAAACTTACTTATTTTTCTCTAGAGTATTGCTCGGTATGCAAGTGTAACATAAAACCGTCGATAATATATATATACATTGTACAGGCGAATCCTTCAATAATGACCGGGACACTAATTTTATTAATATCCCAGCTGAACTTTTTTAATTTACATAACATTTCGTTTTTATAACAAAATCTCCAGATATGTGAATTGCAGTCCGCCCAGCGAAATTGGAGTTGCCAACACAAGGTGCCATACAGTATCTGTGGCAACCAATGGATAGGATACGACGATACCGAGAGTCTAAGGATGAAGGAAAGTTAAACGAAATTGCTCCAATCAGTTCTTCTAAAGTGTCGTGTTAACTTATACTTGGCGCAGCCCATTTGAATGGCGATGTTATTTCTACAGCACATGTGAAGGCGATTGTTAGCTTCTCGATCTTTATTTTTTAGGAAATTACGGTTTGTGCGCACATGAGCCTTATATTTCTTAAAATTTTGCAAAAAGTTGTCCGAGTAGTTCCTGTAGTTTACCAAGTTCTAGCTATATTTTCGATCTTGGGGGAGGGGGTTCCCTAACCATTGCATTTTTCACTTTAATTATGAGCGTTTCGTTACCTCTTTCTGATACAGGGTGAGTACGCGCGGTCCAAGGGCCTCGGTGGCGTTATGGTCTGGAGCATTGACATGGATGACTTCAAAGGAAAGTTCGGCACCATGGGACCCTACCCCTTGTTAAGGGCTCTCAAGTCCGGTCTTGATGGGAGAGGTTCATTAGACGCTCGTCCCTCTGACATGCAGGTTGCACCAACTGCACCAAAGCCAGCGGACGTCCCAGGGAAGCCTTCCAGTCCTTCGGTTTCAAATTCTGCGCAAGTACCACCCAAACCTTCTCAGTCCAAAGCAGAAGATGTACACGAAAAATCTGAGACAGGTGATACAGGAAAATCCACCCATTGTACAGACATTTCTTAATTTCACTTAAGGATAAGTCTGGCGTCTCTGCCACTGCACTAACTGATAGAACTCCTCACACTTCTTTCATATCCCTTTTACCAATAAAAAAGTATCCGTAAAATAATGGCACCATAGGCCTATTTTTTTTAATCTAAAGTGGCTGTTATAAAAAAAAACTTCAATAAAACAAATTTCATATTTCTGCTATCGTTACAGGTGTAATGCCGTACCCGGGAGACGGGTTGTTCCCTGATCCGAAGGACCCCACCAAATACTACAGCTGTGCCAACGGGATTATGTACTCACAGCAGTGTCCTCCGGGTCTGGTGTTCAATCCGGTCACCAAGACCTGCGACTGGCCTCAAAATGTACGGAAATAGGCTAGACCTCCATACTTCATCCTCGACATTATTTCGTGCCCAGGGGCCTGTTTCAGAAAAGTTTACCTGGTCTACGTCATTTGGCAACGCTCGAACTGCTAAAATTGGATAGCCGACTTGGTGCATTCCCAGAGATTTAGATCGATCCAGGGATTAAGATTTAGATCGACCTAACTCCCTGGGGGTTCACGCTAAATTGCAGTCAGCCGAGCGCGCACCACAGTTAATTACCCCTTTACAGCTTTTAGTAGGCGGGAGAGACGCTTAAGCCGGCTAAGCTGACAGTAATCTAGTGAGACTCCCCACAGGGATAGATCGATCTAAAATCTATGGAAATGGGGTCTAATTTCGGTAATTTCATGTATTTAGGACCGTTCGGATAAAAGACAAATATTACGACGGTGGCAGAAATAGATAAAGCCAGCACTATACCGGTCGACGTCGTCAGACATCTCTCTTGTAATAGTTTTTCTATCATGTTAAAGAGGAAACCAACAGTCCATGTTGTATTATTCAGTTATTGACTTCGGGTGAGGTCACCTCTTATTATTGATTTCTAAGTGTGAGCGGGTGACGTACATTGTGCAAGGACGGCAGTGTATGATTTCACGTACGCAACGAAAGTATTCCCCCCCGCCCCCCAAAACAAGTATAAAGCTGATGTTGGCACGGTCAAGTTGCATTTAGAGTTAATGAAAATGAAGGGTTGTTTCCCTGGCGATCAACGAGTGGATAACAAGTGTAATACTACATGAAAATTAAACATCCAGATAAATTCGAAAATAATCAGAATACAGCTACTGAGCTACGTGTTATAGAAGGTATTATATATATATAGGAAACGCTACTTGGTATTCTCAGTTGCCTCGTTCTAGTAGGCGACTATGGCTCAATCCTGTCTCAAGTGGGCCACATTGTGTTTTAGTATACGAACATACCATAAGAAATGAAAGCAGGCGGCCCTTTAACCGATTTGTGAAAATCAGCAGCCAACTGTTAGCCTCTGTGAAACGGGCCCACGCAGTGCATTCAAAAAAGGGTTTTGAAAGGCTTCTACACTAAGAAAAAGAAGGCTGAATGCTTATACACTTTGAATAAAGCTAATATATAAATGTCTGGTTATGCTAATTGAAGACCCTTTCGCACAAGATCTTTTCCAAGGTTTTCATTGATCTGGATTAGATAGGACCCTCCCCCTTAATACTGTTTTAATAGAAAGCTTATGGCTTGTTCAAACCCATGTCTATAGGTAATTCCATGTGTTAACATAAGAAATAAAAATTAAATTGTCAGAAAGAAACAGACCAATAGTTCAACTAAAATCAGTGACTTTATTACCTACTACACTTCGGTGTTACATAATAAAATTTTACATTAAGAAAATTCAACTATCTTTACAATTTCTGCCACATTTCATAATTGATGTTTAACATTCAGTGGAATGATCCAATTTAAAATTTTTCTAAAAACAAAAACAAAATGCAGAATCGGACCGGTGTTAAAGCCATTTGCTAGCAACCGTCAATGACATTTTCTTTTTGCTATTTCCATGGAGAATCCAATCTAATTATGTACAGTACCGTTTTCAAAGTCGCACGATTCTTTTATCATTACAATGACAACGGTTTCTACTTTAAGAAAACTATCTATAGTGTTCGTTCAATCTCTGCTGGGCAATACCGTCCCCTTACACAACCATGAGGTTTATTCAACATACTGGCCACAGCTGAAAGAGAAAACATGGTAGTTCAGACACAAAATTATTATTTATTTATTTATTTATTTATTTATTTATTTATTTATATAAAATACAACACCGAGTATCCTTAACATTTTAAATCCCAAAAGTTAAATACAAAACTACATGTTCTTCAGGCTTTGAATCTGTAACTATTTTGAAATGAACGAAAAAAAAAGGTGCCCAAGACCAAAACATCAGGTGTATCAGGACACTGAAAGTGTTCATTTATAGTTTAATCTCAATCAAACATAATGTATTTTACAATCTGTAGTTGAAGCAAAACGACCACAAGTCGCCATGTCATAATTCCACGTACAAGCCCATGTTTACTGCCTGTTATAGGGGTGATAGCCTCCCTGGCCTCCTCCGGCTCCCCCACCACGCTTTGGAGCCTTCCCGTAATTGCTCTGGCCGCCTGAAATGAACAAAGAAAACATTCAGCCTCAATCCAAGAATTTAGTTCAGACACAAACACTGCAAACTCAAATACTACCTTTATAGAGGCACTTGCCTTAAAATCTTCACACAGGTTTTAATGCATAATATGTATCTTACCCAATCTACAAATATATACACCACAACAAAAATAGTTTAATGTATATTAATACCCCTCACAAGTGAATAAAATTAAGTGTTTAAGTACTGGATTACTAAATAACAGTTTTGTTTCATAGTAAATCACAAGTAGTATACAGGAGCGAGCCTCAAAAAGTTGATATGAGGGGGAACTAACACATTCGTGTTAGGGTCAAGTTTTACTCCAGAGGTATATATACAATCTAGCGGCTTCACACCTATGCACTATCCTTGTGCAATTGAAAGTACACAACAATTCAAATAAAAGAAATTAGTTTATTCTGAACACAAACTTGATGTAAGGACACCTTGGGAGTGCCTCACAGTCATTTCACTTGTAAATTTCACAGAGACATGCAAATCAATAGGTGGTCCTGACGTTGCTAATATATCCCTGTCTACTGCATCTGACCAACAACATACATAAGTAATACCTATCACTTGTTTTCAAACAAGAATGAACTCATTTGTATTTGCAATGGCACAAAAGTAGGGCGATATAAGGACACATTCCACATTCCTAAGATTTCAAAAAATGCACTCTTCTCTCAAAGAACAAACGATGAAAAACAAAATACAAATTTTATATAATTATTCTTTGAACTTAATGTGCTACAACATGCAGCTTGTATATCTACAACAAATATACAAGATAACTATATATAGATGTATGAAACAGACAGAGGTTGCTGAACTGAAAAAAAAAAAAGTACTGAAATCAAGTGGACTAGCACGTATTCCTATGCCAATCAACTTGACCAAGGACTGCTCAAGTGCAAAATTGCCCTTTCATTTAAGAAACAAAAAATAAATTTTGAGAGAAATAGTCTTCAGATTTTTCAAATGTTAAATAAAGACAAATATTATAAACACAAAAAATATGTACATATTTATTCAATAATTTTTCCATGATCAAAAGAGCACATTTTTGTCTGAATTGAGACAAAAATTGCATTTCGCACCAGTTCAGAGCTCACCTGTGGTCTGGACCATACAGAAGACCTATTCTACAACATTTTTCATTGCACTTTTCCCTAAAGTCATTCTTTGAATAGGTAAATTGAAACACAAATATATCACTTTGTTCAACAATTCAATTCCAAACCCTGGGGCTGTCTTGGTTAAAGTCATGTGACTTAGGTCAAGGGTCATATGATAGACTCACCTTGATCCTGTCCATAGCCCCATCCACTGTAATCGTAACCTTGGAAAAACAAACAAGACCCCATGTTACTTCACCAAGCAGAGCACTAAACACTTAATATATTGACACTATATTGTGCTTCATGTGCCCTTTTCAAAGATATCTTATAATCACAATGCTGCCTGAAAACAGTGTATAGTGTTGTTTGTGTCTTGTGTATCTGGTCAAATAATTTGAAGAAATCCAAATCCTCTTGTTCTCATCTTTGTGCTGTCTCTCCTTTAAGATAATCTGCTGGTCCAGATATACAACTTTGTTATTCACCCACTTAATAGTTACCAACTCATTCAGAAATTGAGGAGGGTTACGAAAACCTTGATTTCTACTTGACATTTTAGCCCTATTTCACTTTAAAACTCAAGTGGAAAGTTGGTCTTTACTTTCATAAAAAAAAAAACATTTTGAAACAAGTTGAGACCAACCTTCAACTTAAATATATATTTAAAATTCTATTTACATTATAATTTATTTTATTATTACTGAAAAGGCTACTGATTAAGAACAGGTGGATTTGGGCTTATTCAGAGAGGTGATTAAAGTGGAGGTTTTATGGATGTTGTATGTGACTGTCCATCTTGGGAGTTCACATTTAGATAACAGAGTTTATAAACCTATGAGATGATACAGTCCACATTCAGACCTACTATTTTTCACATAAAAAATCACTACTATGAATATTTTAATGATATTATAAATATAGCTCATACAAGTAAAATTAAAAAATTACTCCAAAATCAAAGTATTCATCAACTTAAGTATAGTCAAATGCAACAGCGTAGAAGAGTTCAGACTTACAGCATTTCTTATACTACAGGACAGTATATACTCTTTTCAAACTTCAGTTTTCAAACTTCTATAAAAGTTGACAAAGCATTATGCAAATAAAAATGTTTTGCAGAGACAGCAAAGTCCTTATTGCTCAAAAAATGAAAATGAAATAACTGACTTAAAATTACAGAGTCAACTCCCCAACAACACTTCTATAAATAATTTTGCTTTATACATAACATTAGCCAGGTTCAACAAAAGCAAAAGAAGCAGTGGTGTTAATTTTGTCACTCATTTTTTATTTAAACCAACTCCTTTTTCTTTTCCTCTGTCAGTTTTAAGTCTAAACAATGACAATTTGGCATTGAAAACCAGCCAATATGTATTTTCATTTAAGAAAATGACAGAGCCCCTTTAAGACATGAAAGCCTTCAGTTCTTACGCATAAAGTCTTTGTGTAAACAGGCAAGTAGCCTTCAACATACAGGAAGGCTTTGTCACATTCACCAGTGTCTCACTTCCATTTCATCCAATATAGCAAAGAAGTGTAATAAATAATGTAATCTGTATAATTTCTGGAAACCCCAGAAATTCCAAATGAATTTAGAATTACACACACATCCAACGTTATCTTGATTAAACTGTAAGCAGTTACAGCACACTACCTACCTTGTCCATATCCACCTCCATATCCGCCACCATAACCTCCACCATAGCCGCCTCCATATCCGCCCTGGTCATATCCACTCCAGGAGCCATATCCGCCACCATATCCACTTTGATCATATCCTCCATAGTTTCCATATCCACCATAGCCTCCCTGATCATATCCGCCATAGCCTCCATATCCACCATAGCCTTGGTTGTTCCACCCTTGGTTCCAGCCCCCTGGGCCACCTCCATATCCTGGAAATATATCAGGTCCAATAACATGTCACAGAGTTTCAACAAAATGGATGGCTTTATAAGATGTAATCTAAATACCTGAAGATGAGCATAAAAAGATAAATTCTCTTCCATATTTTTTCCAAATATAAACTTCACCTGGTTTATAATTAACATTATGTCAATACTGCATTATACTGTAACTAAAATAACGACCATAACATTAGTCATTTTCCAAAACTAGTTCCCCACAAAAAAATTTCTGCACCCATACCAATGAAAGGAATTCTTGTCAACAACTCACCTCGTCCACGGCCTCTTCCACCTCCTCTGCCACCAAATCCACCCCCACGGCCACCACCGCCATAGCTATCATTCTGCTTGGGTGTGGCCTTTTTCACATCCACCTACAAAGACAAAAGAGATTACAGTGAGTGTCTGATTGTTTGAACATACACCCTGAACCCAGCCATTTTGGTGGAAGTTGTTGATAAACATACTACACTACGGGCTTGCATGATAGGGGGTAGACCATTTTCTGCTTTTGTTATCAAGCAAAGGGTCATAAAGCACTGTGAAAATGAACTGGACAACCTTCAACAATGTCTTAAAGAAATATATTACACATGCTTTTCTTCTGAGTCTATTGGTGATGTGAAATATCTCTTTCTCTTTCATCTCCTAGATTAAACTTGTGCTTTTTGATGAATAAGGTTTTTTTAAAAACATTTTTGGTCAGAAATGACTTTCTCTTTATTTTCAAACTTGATTAAACTTCTTTTTACAGGCCAAAGAATGTTTCTTCTTGCCCATTAGAAAAATAGTTGAAGGACTTGCCAGTAGACGAAGATAAACACAAGAGCACACATTTGATACTTTATTTTCAAAATGGCTGAGTAGATGGGCATAGTAGTCAATTCATGTAAAAAGACAACTAATATATCACTAACTACAATGTACCTGCTCTCTTGCAAATTTTATCAATACATGTACTGCTGAAAACTATATATATGCCCAAACCGGACCATTACTGCATCTACCATGTCTTGTGCCAAGAAATAGCATACTAAATCTGCAAATGAAAAGTTCTCTGAAATCTAATGTAATCAATATATCATTAAATCAAATATAGTGTACTTAATAGGATTCCTAAACCAATCTATCATTAGGTAATCCTATTTGTCTCTATTTGCAAGAATTATTTATGATAAAACCTCAACGGTTCTTTCCCTACGAGTGAGTTTCCTCCACATACCACTTGCAGTCGCTCCATTTCAAGGAGTCCTCAGCTAAAATCAGAATAAAAGGACAAAGAATGTGAACAATGCAAAATGCACATCTAACTTCACATTCTTCAAAATGAGACATACTACCTTAACAATGTGCATGCCTTTTTAAGGAAATGTGTCAAATATTACACTACAAACCAAGTGCTTTCTGGGATGAAACAATTACACCTAATGAGAGAAATATAAAGTCAAAGGGAGATAATAAAAAAAAACTGGCTTTACAAAACAGGATCAAGCTGAGTAAAACATTTGTTTACACCCTTTACGTCTGAGGCTGAAGAGACATTACATACGACCTGCAAATAGAGAAAATACTTTAAATATAGAAATGTTACAAACTGGGAGATTACATTACAATGAAACATGGACATAGTACGGGTTAAGGAGAGCAAATGTTTGCTACTTTGCTGGTACATGCTCACCTCTTTCTCTCCTAGTTTTTGCTTTGGTTCTGCTACAACTTTGTTTACAACTTCTTCACTTTCAAATGTGATAAAGCAGAAATGCCTCCTAGAACCCTTTGTCCTGTCATAAGGAAGATCAATCTCTACAATCTGAAGTGAAAAACACAAGCACTTAAAATCATTTCTTCATTTTAAATAATTCATAATTGCATCTTTTGCATATAATGTAATCAATATCAAAATAAATAAGAAACAAATAAGTTGAAATAAATAAAAAATATAATTAATTAATACAATTAATAATGACATATAAATAAATAAGTTGACTGTTCTTTAGAAATAATAAAAATGGAGTTAATATAATGATTGTGACGTAATATTGGTTTACCTTTCCAAACTTGCTAAAATATGTCCTGAGCTCATCCTCTGGGAAATCGGGGTCTAATCCTCCTACAAACACTTTCTTAATTGGTTCTTTCTGTCCCCTTGCCATGGCTCTCTTGGGGTCGATTACCTTCCCATGAAGCTTGTGTTCACTTTCACATGTGCACTGAAAAAGCCACAAAAGCACAATAAACATTTGAAAATATCCTTCTGAAAAATTGGTGAAATCTGAACATGCTCAATTGAAGACTAAAACATAACCAGTTTTAATGGAATATAACAAATTGATGAAATGTACCAAATGTATACAAAATTTCTCATTTAAAAATACAAATATAGTTGTGATATACTTTGATTCATAAAATGTTTCCACACCTTATGGACAGCATCTGTTTCTTTAAATGTAACAAAGCCAAATCCTCTTGACCTTCCAGTCTGATGATCTATTTTCAGTTGGCAGTCTGTCACCTCTCCAAACTTTTCAAAATATTCCCTCAGATCCTCTAAAATACAACAAAAATATCAAGTATGGAAATTAAGGAGTTTTCACTGTATAAGGGAGGGGTTAACCGATTTACTTTCACAAAAAAAGACCCCTGTTCTCTAACACAGTGGCACAGTAACTTTGTGAGGTACCAAATTAAGAGCTGTGCACAATGATTCTAAGGTTCAAATTCTAGCATAACCTTTAACATAATTAAATAGGTAAAAATAAGCAACGTACGGTTTATTTCGGGATCTTTATAAGAATGCAAAAATTACTCACTTGCTGTTGTTTCCCAACTTAATCCTCCAACAAACAATTTGCTGAAAAATAATAACACATTTCAAACAAAATTGCAACTTCTCTTTTCTCATGCTTACAAGTTAAAAAATAGCTTTCTCAAAAGTATTGCTTTTTTTATTATCATTATTATTACTTCAAAATACAATAAAAATAGGGAGGTATGTGATCCACCTTAACTAAAGGCAATCAAACAACATGCAACAAACCACATCAATTCTGAAAGCTTTCATCCATTACACTGTGAATAAATTATTATTCAATTTAAATGGTCATTCTCTACTGTGTTTCCTCTGCTTTTTGCTAAAATTTACAGGATTTATGCTGGTTTGGCAATCATTTTACCAAATAATTAGTCAAACCCAATTTTTTTGCATTATCTATTTGTTCCATACAATAAAAATATTTTTCAGATGATACGAAATATGACTAGAATTATAGATTTTTAATCAATTAACAATGACCGGCTCTCTTTAAAGGACATGCTACAAATAATCGCTGACCCAATTTTAAATCTGGAATGCAAACGTAACAAAGAAACTGGGGACTCGACTCAGAGTGAAGTTCTCTGTGCCTTTTTCTACAGACAACTCGTAATACTTAACAAAACGACAAAAAGGGACCGTTTTACTTTTTTCAATGAAATAATCTAACCGGTCAAAAGCCCTCGGAAAAGTTGCAAATGGCGTTATACAAAATGGACGGCATTTTCTCTCACCATTCTTCGTTATCTTTTGGTTTTTCTTCAGATTCACATGTGTCTCCTGATTCTCCTTCTTGGGCTGGTTGCACTTCAGTTTGTTCTTCTGTTTCTGTGTTATTTGTGTATGTTTCAGCAGATGGATCATACTGCTGTTCCCCATTTCCTTCGCAGCCGTTCGTGTCTTCCATTGTTGAGCAGCGTGGTTCTGTTGAAAAAGACACATACAAGCCGTAGATTTGAAGAGGAAAGTTTTTGATAAATGTTATTTAGATATCGATGTGTTGCTTGTTATAAACATATATGACATCAAAAGTAAAAATTAAACGTGCTGCATCTGATAATTTAAAGATATATTTTAGAGAAGAAAAATATATTAAATTCCAATTTTATACATTAATTTACGCGCGTTTTACTTAATCTCACAATTACATTAGTCTCGTTTTGAAGATAATGGCAAGTGCGAAACCACTTGTAAAAGAGGCTCGAAAGTGGAGATCAAGCGCGGAATTTGAATAATCTGGACTATTCGTTCCTAGACTGAACCAAAAAGATCATTTAGCTCCTTTTTGGAACATAAGGGGTGAACTGAAATACAACGTTAGACCGTTTGCATCGACAAAGAAAAAAATTACCAATTTTACTCTAAAGCTACCTTCAATGTACGGCGTAAAATCCTGAATCATTTGGTAAATTACAAATCATGTTACATGTTCTTTTTAACACGTAACGAGGTCCTAGGGGTCTCAGCTTTTTATGGAACAATGTAACAATATGTGTTTATGATTAATAATTGTAATAACTGTTATACCAAAGGGACATCTCTCGTGTTTCCCTGGAGTTTCAAGGGGGTTGAACTTCCAAGAACTTGAAGAAGCGATACGTTAGTTTCGTTGATAATTCAGGTATTTTGTCTCATTTACGCACAGTGCAATGAAAATAATATAAGAACCCATTAACTACATATCTTGGCTTAATTTCTTTGTCCCATGAACTCTATAACAAAGGTGCTTAGCTTACTTAATAATCATGCTTATGCACGGGTGATGCACCGATTTTATGAGCCTTTCAACGCACTGGGGCCATTCAGAATATATGATCCAAGTACTAACTGATCCCCAGACTTAATATGGCCAACCATTCTTCAAAAGCGCTGCCGCTAGTTCTATGGTTCCCGCCTCATACACGCTCCGTCGCTGTAGGAGCCTAGCAATTAAACCTCGGAGCCGGGATTTAATTTGTTTAATAGCACTTGTAAGTGGAGGCGCGGGGAGACCATCAGGATTCAGTGACATCACTTTTGAAGTATGGTCGGCCATATTTAGTCGGTGGATCAATTAGTACTTGGTTCATCTATTCTGAATGTCCCCATTGAAATCTGGCATGACAGAGGCGGATCCAGAATTATTTGAAGGGGGGGGCGGACATAAAAGCCAACCCTCCACAGATCTCCACATCCCACACACCCCCCCACTTGGCATGGGGTTAGGGGCCTGCTAAAGGGTCCCGAAAAATTTAAGTATTTTTATTATTCTAAAGAGATTATCACAAAAAAAAAAAAAAAAAAAAAACTTTTAGAAAAAATCAGGGACTAACTTTGAATGTAGAAATGAATTCATTAACCATTGGTAAGTATATGGGAAAATTGTTTGCTCCAGGAAAATTCATTTTTTGGCCAAAATGAACAGTTATTATGCTGTGAAGCATTATGTAATATTGCATCAAAAATGAAGAAATCATTTTTGGCATTGCCTCCAAAGTGACCATTAAAGGAAAACCATGTCACTTACTCTTCTTAAACTTACAGAAAAGTAACACAGGACTAAGATACAGCTTAAATTGGAAAAACTGTTTTGTTGGTTAACATTTCTTGAGATAATATAGTTTTTTTGTTAGAATTAAATTTTTCACGTCAACATTTTCAAGTGTGACTTTGAACTTCCATGGGCTTCAATACCTTTGCTAGTCACATTTTCCGAATATCCATGATATTTTTTTAATTATTAAAATTGATGGTCATTATGCTGTTTAGCATAATGTAATATTGCATCAAAAATGAAGAAAACCCGATTTTGGGCACTGCCTCCATAGTGACCATTGAAAAAAAAACATCACTCTTCTTAAACTCACAGGAAAGAAACCTAGGACTAAAATGCAGCCTGGGTTGGGAAAGCAGTCTAATTGGTTTCTTTTTCTGTTGTACATTTTTGTGAATTTTCCATCTTTCACATATTGGCATTTTCATTGTGGGGCTTCGAACTCCAACGTGCATGAAGCCCAGTGAAAATCAGATTTTTTAAATGTCCATGTTATTATTATATTATATTATCCTATTTTGTGCATTATTATTATCTGCTTTTGTCTGTACATTTGACAGCTTGGCTGCCTTGTTTATTTTCTAGGAACTAATGTCCCTCAAATGCATTTTCATTTGTAGGTGCTTGTTAATTTATTAATCATTTTAACACATGTTAAAACACAACTCATAACAAGCTATTAGTGATGCAAAATAATCATGTTTATTTCTTTGGACGGAGTAAACTAGATATGGTTTAATGCTATCTGGACAAACATGGAGAATAATAGGAAAAATGTCTATGACTTAAGTAAAATCGATCATAGCCATTATTGTGCCATAAAATACACTTCTTACTATCCCTCCCTAAAATTTTCATATATAAAATATTTGTATGAAGGATATTAATTCAAACTACAGGTAATATATTGCATTATAATCAAGATAAAGCAAAGGTGCACATGTAACAGAATTGCACTTAAATATCATGTTACATATATCATGTAAACTGTTGGACAGAGCTGCATACAGAAAAAATATTGCCACACATATTTTGATTAATTCATATAATATTTGATAGAATTGAGCAATACATATAATAGTATCATAAAGAACATAAGCTGTAGTTAAGAGAAAATACAAAAATTATGTGTATATTATATTCTTCAAACAAAACAACTTTGAAGTACATTGAAGCTTCAAATGGACAGTATGGTAACGCTTATCTTCATCAGTTATTTCCACCACAGGGCGCAAGCATTTCTACCACTTTTACCTCCAAATACAACATTAAGAAAAACTTCCTTTTTATCATTAAACTCCATCATTAAACAATTTTAAAATTATATATACTGTAGTATATCATTTTCATAGAAATAAAATATTTACTATCTCTTTGAAATAAACATGTATCACACTTGTACTAAACCATTTTGTAGTCACTTAAATGTTTCAAGCTATGTGAGGTTAACTGTTGTGGTTCACTGTTGGATACAGTATTATGGTAATGTATTACAGATTTATACATTATTTTACTGCTGACATACCATGTATGTTCGAGTAGGTCAATGTGTGGAGGAAAATGGGTGTGATGAAGAAAACATTGCACTACTGTTGCCTTCCTTGGCTGCCTTCTTTTCTATTTATTTAGTTTTCTTTATTCTATTTATTTATTAATATAAATTCATTATATTATTATATATAATATGCTAACGCCTCTTTACATTTTTGTCATGGAATGCAAGTCCATAAGAATATTTTTCATTTTCGGTGATCTGCCTTTTTCATACAGTACCTGGCCTGGCTTCAGTGAAAGTTGCATGTTAAGTTTGGTTGTACTGAAGTATATATATTTGTTTGAGACTAGATTAAGTCATCCACAATACAAAAAAAAAAAAAAAAAAAAAAAATAGTTTCTTTTGTATACATACTTCAGATTATAAACCTGCATCACTGTGCCAATTAAACTTATTTGTATATCTTTGAGAAAAAGGTTTTCCTGGTAAAAACTGGTATTTTGAAAATTCAACATACCAATCAAAGTCTACAATACTATGACAATCATTACAACAGTATACAGCAATGCAGTTGTGAGCATGAGGCAAATTTTACTAAATTAGATATAGATATACTGCACAGTGTTAGCTGCCTCTCAGATGAGTTGTTTAGTCCATAAACATCGTTTCGTACTTGAGTTTCAGAGTCTCAATGGCTGAGATGGTTTTTAGGGCTACTCTTCCTTAGTCTGTTCTGTGACTTTAGTCTGGGGCTCTAAGGAAGACTCCTCTGTGGCTGGCTTATCTGGAACAGATAATAAGATAAATAAATTGCTGGCTCATTCTATCACACCCGATGGCCTTGTGGTTAGAGTGTCCGCCTCCGGAGCGGGAGGACGTGGGTTCAAATCCCGTCCGGGGACATACCAGTCCTTTATAAACGATACCTGCTGTCTCCCTGCTTGGCACTCAGCACTAAGGGGTTGAAGCAGGGGCCACTGCAGAAATGGTATATTAGCTATGAGCGCCTAATATGGCAGCCGAGCTGTATGCTCCCCAGGAAGGTGAGACTGCCTACGGAGTGCACCAGTGCAAAAATGACCAGGCTTCCTTGACTTAAATATTCATATATGTAATTGTATAACTTCAACCTTCGGGTTGCAATTTCTCCAATAAAAGATTATTATTATTATTATTAAATGAAAGATACTAAGTATGACAGAAAATTGATTATATGGAGAAACAATAAAATATTCCTATCAGTTATTTTATACAGAACTAAAATTTTCAAAATTATTGAGGAGATTTTGTTTTGGGTCATATGTCAAGAAAAAACAATGTAAGTGTCCTCAGAAAAATGAAATTATTTATGCCGCATGTACTTTACAAAAGACGACAGTTACTATGGTATGTACATTTGTCATCTAGAAAAGCTTATTCCTTTAGCATGTAATATTGAGCTGACAAACATTTTTTTAAATAATCCTTTTGAGAAAATAAAAAAAAACATTTATTACTCAATACCTACATTAGCATCCCTGCATTTTCTGCCTTTAATAATAGCATGAATAAGCCTACATACCTGTTTGATTATCTGCCTCTGCGTGAGCTGTAGGTTCAGGTTTATCCTCTGCTTTATCTGGTTCTTTCTCACCTAAACAACAAACAGAAAAAAATGAATGGCTGCTTGAAAATGACAGTATAAAACTAAGATCTGAAAAATTTAAAGAGTCAATATTGCTATTAACTAGTACTAAATATACATAACTTCAACAATAATGTCAGTTGATATGGTCAAAATGTAACTAAAACTTTGCATGCACTACATTTCACAGAAGTCAAAACAAAATGAAAATATATGGAAATAACATGAGGACACACAAGAGATTAATGAGTATGCAAATATCCTATAAATAATGGAGTAACATGCAAACCAACTGTGCTAGCAATAATATCTGTCTTTCAAGCAAGGCCAATGTTACAGTTCATATGCCCTGAGACACATATAGCCTATCCTAGATTTTTACTGCTTTACAGACCATAACAGGTATACCTTATGCTGCAACTATATATATATATATATATATATATATATATATATATATATATATATATATATATACAAAGCCACCTGTATTAAAACCATCTACAAACATGCTCTAATCTGCATGCATCATACTACAGTTTAATCAAAATTCTGCCCCATTTTCTTGTCTGTGCATTTTGNTGTCTTCTTTGCCAAGCCTTATGTTTTATTTTTCCAGAGTTCAAAATTTATTATCCATTACCGTACTGCACATTTTGCTTTTACCACCAATATGTACTTTTTGATACAGCGTAACTCGAAAACCGTATGGAATACAAAAAAACCGAGACCACTGCCAGTGTTGGGCTTTACATGCTCTACAAAATGCAAAAAAGAATGGGTCTCTAGCATTAACGGTTCCCGAATTAGAGACAGTTTTCAGTTTTGGTATCTTATGGTCGCTACTCCCGTGAAAATGCACCGATTGACCCCAAATTCATGGAGATGAAAGATGACCTGAAGGGTAACACTTTCCAATAATATTATTGGTTAAGTCTGTATAGTGTCTGAATAACAGGGCAAAAAAAAAATGTTTTCGTAAAAAATTTCATTTTTTTGAAAATTTTGACCCATTTGACCTTGAAGTAAAGGTCAAAGGTCAAATCCAAGGGTATATTTGAAATCTACACATATGACTTTTGGAAAGCCGTCTATAGAAATTTTTCCCATAACTCCTTCCGTAGGGTAGATAATTAGCATTTAATTTTGCCATTTTTGGACAAGGGTGCATTGTAATGAGTGCCACACCCAGACCCCAATACCGACAAAGCCCAAATTTTACGTGGAACGAGTTGAGATTATAGGTGACCTAAATCCATGAGATGGGTACGGGGGCCCTTACCGTCTAGGAGGAGAAGCGGTAACGGTAGCCGTCCGGCAGAGCCGCAAGCCGGCGGAGCTGGCGGAGCCAGCGGAGCCGGCGGAACGATCCGGACAGGACCGAAACCATGTGTACCGCCAGCGCTAACGCTGGTGGTACAATAATAATAATAATAATAACGACAGCAATAATATTAGACCCCCCCTTCCCAAACTACCAAACCTCCGCCTGCTAAGTACATTACTTCAATTGAAATTGAATTGACCCTTTCGACACTTACACGTGGAAATATATTGACTTAAAGAGGATAATCATGTTTGACGTTGTACCTTAGTTACAGAAAGAAAAATAAACAGCAAGACTTGAACTCAAAATGTCAAAGAAATAAATACAAACAAACTTAGAAGGCGAGAGAGTACTAGTATATAAGACCAGGCATCACACTGTTTTCATATATACAGCACTATACCACACTGTATTTATATATACTGCACTTTTTTATACAATCCAACTTTTGTTATATTTTGTTAGTTGCAAATAAACTTATTTTTTATTATTATACTATTAAATAATAAACCTGCCTCTCTTTTCAGCCTCTGTCCAGTGGTCAAGTGTTTTTCCTTCTCCTTCAAGGCCTCCTTCAGCTTGAGGACCTCTCTCTGGTAGTCGTCCCTCTCCTGTTCTCTCTCCACTGCCTGGCTCTACAACACAGTAACATATAAAGTATAAGAAATTGCCAGCATTAAATAGATCTTAGACCTACATCTTATTGTCCTGGTCTATCCATTTTCTATTCTCTGTATTTTTTTTTTTTAATTTAATATGAATTATTGGCTAGACAGTAAAGCTGACAAATATACAGACACCATACAAGAAACAATGCAGCAAAGCTGACAAATGTTCAGACATTCAGACGCAGAAAAGAGTGCACCAAATAATGTTTTGGTCAATTTCGATGCACTATTACATAATGCTTTAAAACAGCACAATCACTCTTACCCTCAAGGACACCTACACAATGTAAAAGTATTTATCGCTACCCNATTTTTTTTTTTTAATTTAATATGAATTATTGGCTAGACAGTAAAGCTGACAAATATACAGACACCATACAAGAAACAATGCAGCAAAGCTGACAAATGTTCAGACATTCAGACGCAGAAAAGAGTGCACCAAATAATGTTTTGGTCAATTTCGATGCACTATTACATAATGCTTTAAAACAGCACAATCACTCTTACCCTCAAGGACACCTACACAATGTAAAAGTATTTATCGCTACCCTAGCAGATGAATGTTAGTGCCAGGAATTGCTATGGTAGTGGTAAATACTTTTACAGTGTGTTGGTTTATTCATTGGTTATGTGGTTTATATGGTTGTTAGTGCTAAAAGATCTGCAGGTAGTGTTAGTAAACGCCTAATCCGTTTATATGGCCTGATATTTACCTCCATGAACTGTTTATTGGCCTTGATCTGCTTCTCCATGGCCTCCACCTGTCTAGTCAGGTCTTCTATCTCCAGTTTCTTGGCCTCCAGGAGGTCCTCCAGTCGCAGCCTCTCCTCTTCCACTGCCGTCTCCAACTGCTGAACGTGTGCCTCGTACTCCTGCTTCTCCTTCCCATGTTGCTTCAGCAGGTCTCGCCTCTCTTGACTGAGTCGAGCGTTCTCCTTGAGTAGCTCTGTAATGATATGGGGTAACATTGCTTGTCACATATAGCATCACATGACATCATATAGTAGTTCCTCTCATCTAAGACAACCTTATTATTTCAGACTTTTGAAATTCAGGCTACGTAATAATTATTATTATTATACGTATCAGTCTGATTACTTTACAAGGGATTTCAAAATTTGGAGGTTTTGCAGTTTCCCTGAGGTTATATATTACAGCACAAATACACCTGAGCCACCATAATTTGATTTTTCTCTAAAAATAAAACACCATTTAGCCAGAATCCCTTTGTTTTTCATCAGATCCACACCACACCAAAACCACATCAAAACCCTAAGTATGGGATTAACTGAATGATAAAAAATCTCCCCACTTTTATTTAGAACCACATAATGTCAAAGGCCGCATTCAGAACAGTGAACTAACTAGTCCTCAGGTCAAATATAGTGAACCACTAAAAAGATTGCCGTCTAGTCCTCTGATAGACACTGAATAGATTCCCCATGGGGAAGTATTCAAGTGGGTCGGCCATATTTGACTAGTAAGTCTAATGTTCTAAATATGGCCAAAGGACACCCATAATTTTTTCTTGTTTTCAAAATAATACCCCTTAAATATTTCTTTTTCATCTACAGATTAAATATATTTTAAAACAAATTAAGAAGAGAAGATAGCTGGAATGAAAGTCAGTATTAATGGAAAAGATACTGTGGATTAGTATTAAACACCAAAAATATATACCCAAAACCTACACTAGTGCAGTTCAAATTTTCTGAATTGGTAATTTTCAAAAAGATATCATTTGTATCCCTACAAGTCCTTGCATTTTGAAAACTGGTTTTATTGAGGGAGAATTTATCCCCAAGTAAGGTGTTTTTCTAATTCAGGCCTTTTGGACTGCACTAATGCAAACTACTAGCTAAATACAAGCTCTTATGCACCTCTATAAAACCCACTTAGCTGCCACATAAAGTATATATTAAATATATAAAAAAATGCTGAAATTTCAAAGTTCAACCACTTCAACCATTTTAAAGATATTGCAATGAAATTGGGAATGAGCCTACTACCCATATTTATACGTCTGATCAATACACATGTTAATGACGACTTCGTGAAGTAGGCTTTTCATTGTTCAGTGATTTAAAGGACCTTTTTCTGTTTTTGTAGATTCTGGGGCCTGCTTCACAAAATGACTCAAGTCAAAGACTGGTAATGGCAAAGACTGTTCCAAAATTCTGTTTTTTTAATCCAACCCCTCAATCAAATTGTTGTTGGCAATGATTTTTCCTTTTAGTGCTGTTAACAACATTAACAGTGACCCAAACTTTTCCCAAAATGCTCTAGAACCAACATCACAAACTCAAATTCACATAGCTGGCTATCTAATCTTAGCAGTCTAAGCTAAATCCAAAACAAACAAAAAAAAAAAAAAACTCTTTGCAAAACAGGCCTCTGAGAACAATTCAACAAACCTTGCTGGTGCACAGGCAGGTTTTCCCCTACACTGGGTGACGCGGTGTCAGAGTGAACGGCCAGAACTTCTGCATGCCAAACAACAGGAGTGTGAAAGAGGAAAGGAATACAAAACTAAGTCAAAATGCAGCACAATGCACAAAAAGTAGGGTGTCATTCCATAGTGTTGTCCCTCTGTTATATTTTTATCATCTCTGTAAGATTGTTTACAACTTCTATTCCTTAAAATTTTGTTCTGAAAGCCACATTCAGAACAGGAGACTAATAGATTCACCGGTCAAATATGGTCGAACCACTTGAAAGCTTGCTGCATAATCCCCTCAGGAAATCTATTCAGAGTCTAAACCTGAGTTAAGCAGCAAGCTTTTTAGTGGGTCAGCATATTTCATCTGCAAATCTGTTAGTCCACTGCTCTGAATGTGCTCAAAGTATTCCAAAGGTTCTTTTTTTTCTTTTTTTTTTTTTGCCTGCAGAGATATATGGTGAGATGAAAGGTTAACAGATGGAAAATTAGTAAACACTATCGAATGGCACCATATTTGAACAAAGCATTGTGGGTACGCTGGATAACAGGACTCCCCACAATGCTTACAGAAGGTTCAGAAATGCACGAACTTAAACTGGAAAATATATTACTAGCATCACAAAACGACAAGATCACAAAAATAACTACTAGTAAAAAAATTCATCAATCTGTCCCCCCCCCCCAATGATGTAATTTAGACTAGTTCCAGTTTAAGTTAGTACTTATCTGAGTGTATCTTATAACTGATTTCAAATAAAAGAACTACAGACAAAATGTCATGCCATTTTTGCTGCATTTGTTACAGTAAATATAGTTCATGCTATGATCATAATGTACTAATGAAAACTGAAATAAATATAAGGGAGAGAAAAGAAAATTTAAATATAATGTTGCTACAATTCTCTTTTTTTTTCAGAAAACTGATAAAAACAAGGCAGCAAAGCTGTCAAATGGACAGACATATTACAAAACTGGCAGGAGCAGTGATATCTACTAAAACCATATAAAATG